TCTTTCCATTTAACCCAGGTTTGCCATACATTTTGGGCATGAAAATTTCTTGGTCCCTGATGGATCAAACTAGCCAAGTGCTCAGCCAAATTATTCTGAGCACTTGCGGTTATTGCGTATGTATCCGGCTAGAGGTCGGTGCTGTCACCGCTCGTCTTGCTTCGGGCGTTAGCCGCGCTTGTCATTGACTCTAGCGAGCCTGTTCGTTGTCAATCATGATATCAATATTTAAACTACAACTCGTCAAAAGTTTCAGCTAAATGTGCTCTTTAACTCAAGCAGTATTCAATAATTTGCTCATCGTCACAATAAATCTGAGTTGTATTTTCTCAAAACCTTTTGCCTAAAGGTATCTTAGGCGTCTCGCTTTCCATGATCAAAAGTCCACTTGCACAGCCTCACTTTTGGAAAGAGCGCCGTGTTTCATGTTTTCAGAAAACATTCACAGCGATACACAACATATCTGAGTCAGACTGCCCTTTCTAAAATAAGAAAGCTCATTAGTAAGTGTTTAGACAGAATAGAACTTTAGAAAGTTTTATTATAAATCTCTGCACTTCTCCAGTATATGTCCACTCGTTTTCTCATCTATTTTGTAACTTACGCCATTGAATTTTCCGACAGAACCCCCTTTTTGCCAACCTTTGCTATCCTATCATTTCCACCAACATGTTCTCACTATTTTCTAACCTATATTCAAAACTTGTCCCCTTTCGCTTCTTTTGTTTTCACGTCGCCACGCCGCTCAACCACCGCATTCAACGTCATCATTATAGACACCTGGCTACGGTACGAGGTCCCGCCCACACGCGTACACAATTCGCTCGTAGAGCGTAATCCCGCCCCACTAGAACTTCTTATTGGACAACGAGCCACGCCCATTGAGTTTGTTGCCATTGCTGAGAATAGTGTGTGTCAACTATCTCGAGTTCTCAAGAACACACAAGTCGGCTTTAGCTGCTAGAGAAGATGGCCAAGTTTTCGATTATGGATCTTTGCCCGGATCTCGTTGATCAATCATCATCAAGGCCTATTGTCAAGCAAGAAGGTAAGCATACTACATATTTCTAACATATTACAATTTCACTTTTTAATTCTGAAGTTTTATTCCGCCTGAGCGCTTGTGGGATTTTCGCGTTTGTTCACTTGACTGATTCATTGATACACGCGCGATTTTCGCTTTTTGACGCAAATGCGCAGACTTGGATGACAACACTGTATATTTACAGTTGGTACGGACAATGTAGCCACAACTGAAGCTACCATCAATCACCTTGAGGACGATTATGCTGACGAAGGGATTGAAGAAGGACCTTCTGAAAGTGGAGACAGCACTAAAGTGAGTCAAAATTCAATCGTGTTTTTACTTGAGTTACGAACTTAGCATTGTAAAGTTTTACAACTTCTTTCAGGACTTCTCAAAATCACCAGAAGGCTCAACTGAAGACAATGAAAAGAAAACCAACCCAAACGATAAACCGCCATTCTCCTACAACGCTCTCATAATGATGGCAATCAAAAGTAGTAGCGAGAAAAGGTAATTTTCAGTTCATACACTATTCCGGCTGTACATAGCACAAAGCACACACGACTGATTCAATTCTTATTTAGGTTGACTCTATCTGGCATCTATGACTACATTATGACAAATTATCCCTTCTATCGTGACAATAAACAAGGGTGGCAGAATTCGATTCGCCACAATCTGTCGTTAAATAAGTGCTTTGTGAAAGTGCCAAGAAGTTTTGATGATCCTGGAAAAGGTAAGTACAGGACAATAATAATTTTTGCATATTGAAAACTTATATTAGC